TGTGATGTGTCGTGATATGTTATGTGCGTAATGTGATATGTTGTGTTATGTTATGTGTATAATGTGATATATTGTGTTATGTTATGTGTGTAATGTGATAATGTGATATGTTGTGTTATGTTATGTGTGTAATGTGATATATTGTGTTATGTTATGTGTGTAATGTGATATGTTGTGTTATGTTATGTGTGTACTATGATATGTTGTGTTTTGCTATGAGTGTAAAGTGATATGTTGTGTTTTGTTATGTGTGTAGTAGCATGTAATGTGATATGTTGTGTTCTGTTATGTGTGTAATGTGATGTGTTGTGTTATGTCGTGTGTGTAATGTGATATGTTGTGTTATGTTATGTGTGTAATGTGATATGTTGTGTTTTGTTATGAGTGTAATGTGATATGTTGTGTTTTGTTATGTGTGTAGTAGCATGTAATGTGATACGTTGTGTTATGTTATGTTTGTAATGTGATATGTTGTGTTATATTATATTTGTAATGTGATATGTTGTGTTATGTTATGTGTGTAGTAGCATGTAATGTGATGTGCTGTGTTATGTCGTGTGTGTAATGTGATATGTTGTGTTATGTTATGTGTATAATGTGATATGTCGTGAAATGTTATGTGTGTAATGTGATATGTTCTGTTATGTTATGTGTGTAGTAGCATGTAATGTGATATGTTGTGCTATGTTATGTGTGTAATGTGATATGTTGTGTTATGTGTTATGTGTGTAATGTGATATGTTGTGTTATATTATGTGTGTAATAGCATGTAGTGTGATATGTTGTGCTGTGTTGTGTGTGTAATGTGATATGTTGTGTTATGTTATGTGTGTAATGTGATATGTTGTGTTATGTTATGTGTGTAATGTGATATGTTGTGTTATGTTATGTTTGTAATGTGATATGTTGTGTTATCTTATGTGTGTAGTAGCATGTAATGTGATGTGCTGTGTTATGTCGTGTGTGTAATGTGATATGTTGTGTTATGTTATGTGTGTAATGTGATATGTCGTGAAATGTTATGTGTGTAATGTGATATGTTCTGTTATGTTATGTGTGTAGTAGCATGTAATGTGATATGTTGTGTTATGTTATGTGTGTAATGTGATGTGTTGTGTTATGTCGTGTGCGTAAAGTGATATGTTGTGTTATGTTATGTGTGTAATGTGATATGTCGTGATATGTTATGTGTGTAATGTGATATGTTTTGTTATGTTATGTGTGTAATGTGATATGTTGTGCTATGTTATGTGTGTAGTAGCATGTAATGTGATATGTTGTGTTATGTCGTGTGTGTAATGTGATATGTTGTGTTATGTTATGTGTGTAGTAGCATGTAATGTGATATGTTGTGTTATGTTACGTGTGTAGTAGCATGTACTCTGAGGTCTAATGCTATGTGCCGTGGATACGATATGTAGGTCTAACAGCCGGGTGCTTTCAACCCGTGTACTGTATGATGTCGCCTCTCCTCCTCACACACACGCACACATATAACCACCCACCCATATACACATATACACACATATACACAGACGCTCACACATACACACATACATACACACACACACACATACATATAAACCATCACCCATACCCATCAAACCATATGCTCCCCCCCCTCCACACTTGCATACACACACACACACATACATACAAACCATTACCTACACCCACCAACCCATATACTCCCCCCCCCCACATGTGTACATACACACACACATACATACAGAACATCACCCACACCCACCAACCCATATACTCCCCCCCCCACATGTATACATACACACACACCCACATGCATATACACACACATATATGTATACAAACCATCACCTACACCCACCAACCCATATATCCCCCCCCCCAAACTGTATACATACACACACACACACATGCATACACACACACACACATGCATACAA